TGGCTGAGCCATGTGCCCCAAACTTCATGTTGAAGTCCTAACCCCTATGTTAAAATGTGACCATATTTAGAGTTAGGGCCTTTATAGAGCTAAGTGGCTAAAATGAAGTCATGAGGTAGGCCCTACTTCAGTGTGACCAGTGTCCTTGTAAGAAAACAGGGTTCAGACACACAGAGGGGAGAGCATGTGAGGACATGGGGAGGAGACGCCACCTGCAAGCCAAGGAGAGAGACCTCAGAAGAAACCAGCCCTCCCAACACCTTGAACCTAGACTCCCAGCTTCCAGAACTGTAAGAAAATACATTTCTGTTGTTTAAGCCACCTGGTGTTAGAGTTCTATCTTGAATTTCTCTCTGCTTTAGACTTCTCTGTTTTGTTTTTTAGTCTAAACGCTACTGAAAAGTGCAGAGAAGATGGAGTGCAGGCCCCTAGAGACAGGATGGAATGAAACTTGCAGTACGTGTCTGCCTCCTGCTCGGCACGTGCTCTTGGTACCCGCTGGTCCGTCTCACTGCTGACTGGCATCCCGAAGAAGCGGGCAGATTGCACAGGGGCAGCTCTTTCCTCCAAAGCTGCAACATGGTGCATGAAGTCCTCAGATTGGGGAACGCATCCAGGCACTTGAGCTCAAACATACAGTTCTGTTCTAAGACATCCCAGGTGAAAAAATCCACAAAGGTGAGCTTTCCCCCTGGAGACCGTGAGGATTTCCTCAGGAACAAGGAGAAATGTTGCAGCTGCCCGAGTTGCAGTTCCAGGTATGGAGGCTTCCGTGTTTTATGATCAGGGTCGTGATGGAGCTGTTTCCGCTGTGGGCAGGAATCCACCATGCTGTTCTCCCTGATGCCTGCTGGCACCTCTCCTTCTTCAGTCTCACCACTCTGAAACAGCATGCTTGGGAGCACCGTGGGATGATCCGGACGTCCAGGATTGTGGACGATCCTGTTCTTCCTGTCTGTGAGGTGGGCAGATTGGGAACATCCAGGTCTAGCTTGAATTTCACATCCAGCCATTGGCTGCCACCATGGTCAGGGGCTCCTGCACATGGACGGCCATTTCCCCTCCCGGGAGCAGGCAGGTGGCCTGCAGCCCCAGAACACCCTGGACACCTGTTTCCATAGGCTTGGATGACATGGTGATGCTCTCTGTGCCTTTGAGGATGGCGCCCTATGTCTTTGTATAGTAAATCCCACCTTGTCCTCTCCAGTTGAAACAGCCATTTCCCAAATTCCAATCTGATGAAATCCTGTTCTTCCTTCCCTCGTGTTTCTCTAGGCCTCCTGTGGACTCCCAGGATGTGAAGTCGGCATTCCCTTGAGCCTTTTGGGAACATATAAGCACATTGCCCAAAGTCCACCTAACTCCAGGTGTATCCTGTAGAACCAGCATTCTAATTCCTAATTTTAAAGATCTCACAGGACACAGGGTGTGTGTAAAAAGCCTGCCGCAAACCAGAGTGCCTGATTTGAGTACTAATGAGATGGAGGAAAGAAGCTGTGAGTGCAGATGACGAATCCCTAAGTGAGTGACCCCAGAGCCAAAGGTGTTCTTCACACAGAGAGAGTGACTACCCAGGGAAGGAGCTCAGACTCGGCTGGACAAGCCCTGCAGGGACAGCTGTGTCCCAGCCTGGCCAGGAGGGTTGGGCTCTGGGCGTGCGCCTCATGTCTGCTTGATTCTCCTCCGGCCGAGTTCCACACAGGTGAATTGTGCTCATTCTTGCCTCCCCAAGGCCTAGATCAGAGTTCCTCAAGCTTTGGGATACAAACAAATCACCTGGGATTTTCATAAAATGCGGATTCGTGTTCAGCAGCCCTGGCGTTCTGCATTTCTCTCGAGCTCCACGGGCTGCTGACGCTGCTGGGGCACGACCACACTTTGGGTGGCAAGGGCTTGGCAAGCAATTCCAGGTGTCGCCTTAGAGATGGCCTGCTATCGCACTGTCAGTAGGTAGCTGCCACAGTGACGGCCACTCCAGAGCAAGGGGGCAGAACTTTTTGAAAAGCGTCCTTGAATCATTTGGGAAATAACCCATATGAGTAAAAAGTAATCAAAAAATATGTTGGATGTTAGAGCCAGAGGAACTATTAGCATCATTTTGTAAAGACTCCCTCCACGAGTTTTCCAGATGAGGAAACTAACAAAGCCGGTGGCCTGCGGCGGAAGAGCGAGACGCTCTCGAGGTCTCCCTGCTGCACTCCCGTGCACTTCCACAGTGATACCCTGCTGAGACACACAGCAAATGTTGACCGTAACTGTCTTTAAATTAAGACCGTGACTGTCCTGAACGTTTATAAGGCGCAAACCATGAGAAAAAGGCGTGTAGCAGCAATCAGAAGATGCTTTTGTCCACGTGCAACCTTGGACAAGTTAGTTACATAACGGTGCCCCCTGAGCCTGTTTCCCCACTGGAACCAAAAAAAAAAAAAAAAGAAAGAAAAAAGAAAAGGCTATGCCTGCCCTTCCTAATTCAAAGGGCACGGCAGCCAGCGCGGTAGATAGCTAATGTGCTGAACCACTTCAAAACAGTGGAGCTGAATTCACGGTGGGAACACCATCACACACACCTTTTCATTACAAGGATGTTGGTGGACTGAGGGAGGTGGAGAGAGGCCTGAGGTTGGGAGGCAAAAGCGGGGCTGGGGCAGGGGAAGGAGGAAGCCAGAGAGACAGGCCCAGGCTCGGCTCCGAAGTCAGCAGGTGAGCGAGGTAGAGAACTAGCAGCACACTCTCTGTGGCTATTTGCAGGGATGGAAATGTACTGCGTCTGTGCTCTCCAATGTGGCAGCCACTAGCCACATGTGACTGGCAAGCACTGGATATGTAGCTAGTGTGATTGAGGAACTGATTTTGAATTTTTTTTAATTGTTTGTTATTAATTTCCGTTGAAATAGCCATGTGTCCAGTGGCTCCTATAGCAAAGATCTAGATCATTTGTTTGAAGCAGTAAAAGGAGAAGTGTGAATCCCCTCTTACCTCCTGTAACATGCTGATTAACATCACTGCAATTAATCACCATTCACAGCTCTTCAGCTGCTCTGTGGAACCTCAGCCCACTCTGAAATGAACAGCCACAGTGGCAGGGGTTACTGAATGGGCTGGGAGTGGCAATGAAGATTCATCTCTTCACACGCTTTTTATGCCCTCAATCAAAAATGCCTCAGGCTGTGTAAAATTCCATAAATAATAAAGAGATTTTTTAAATATGAGTCTTGATTGATTCCTTACTATATATCTGTCTGGAATTGGGGTGGGGGGAGGTAAAGAGGGGGCTGAAAGCACTCAGAAATGGCCATTACTGCTAGCTGGAGGGAAGAATGAAGACACCTTCCAGAGGTTCTTAACCCTTTGTGCCCCAGGGGCCCCTTTGCCAGGCTAAAGAATTCTATAGAACCCTTCTCAGAAGAATGAGTTTAGGTTATAAAGTAAATTAGATTAAGGTAGAATTCTACCCCTTGGGAATGAGGGACTGCAGATTAAGGACTCTTACCCTAAGAAGAGTGATGGAGTCCCTTTGCTTAGGCACCCCTGCCCCTCCCCCACCAGCTGCCTTTTGTGCCAACCCTGGATGAGTTGAGGAGAGGACCAACCAGGACTTCTCCCTTTCTTGGAAGATGTGCCATGGAAGGCAGAGGACTGCTCTCTGTGTCAGAGTACCTGTGGTCGCCGTGGGCTATGACACGGTGAGACAGCAGAAGGAACCGTATTGGAGGTAGCATTCTGGTCTTAATGGACATGTAGGCTGGGTAAGGGGCTAAGAGATAGGCTGCAGTGTTTGCTCTTATGTTAACCCTTCCCCACTCCCATCTCACTCCTTTCTGTGAACATAATGGCATTTCATAAAATTTGGGATACTGTCAGCAACAGGAGAAAATAATTTAGCAAGGCAAATCGAAATACCACTCTTGATGCAAACACCCTTTTAAAGTTTACCACACTGATCCCGTGCAATTAGACAAAGGAATTATGAACACTGCTGTCCAACACCTTCCCCAGACGCCCTGGGTGAAATGAAAGAAGCTCTAGTGGAGACTTGGCTGGTCAGGCCGGAGAGGCTGCCTGTGCAGGGGCTGCTAAAACAATGACCGACCTGGGTTAATTAATCAAATGAGGAAGCGGATGAAAATCCCTGTTGCAGCTGTAAGCCAGAGGGTTCACATGCAGAGCCACACAGCATAAACAAGGCAATCCACACCTGTCTGAATCCTTACTGTTAATGAGCGTAAAGTCGGAAGATCATGTTCTGATTTGAGTTCAACTATGTGTCTGAAAAGTATGAGAAGACAATACTAAAGATTGCTTTAATAAAAATACCAGAACAAAAAACTGGTAATGTTATATGTAACAGGAAGTCATCCATTCTTATATTATTTTTACTTTTTGTTTCTCCAACATTTATAATATATACATTTATGCCACAATATAACCTTCACGAATTCAGATAAGACTGGGCTTAAAGCAAATTTATTTCTTTAAACATTCTAATACCCCATCAATTTAAAAGGTTAATGACTGCTTAGTAATGGAATGAAGTTATTCATTCATGGTTGTGGCATATACTAAAAACAAACTTTTGCATTTAATATCAACATTTTAGAGATCTCTGCTGAAAATTTCAGTGAAATCTGTTTCTGAAATGTATTATGGGCCATTTCCTCTTCATAAAAGTAACACAATATGCCATACCATTTTGTACACAATAAAGCTCTTAATAAGCATTAGAATATGTGTCCTTTCTGAGGTAAATAAACAATTTAAATGCAGTGGGAATAACCACCAGGATTAAAAGCAGTCTCTGAGCAGTAGGATGAGGCGATTTAGACTCCTCATTTTGTGCCTCCTACATTGTTTGAATGTCTATTTCTACATCCAAAACTCCAACAATAATGAGGAACAAGAATAGCTAAACATGTATCTTTTCAAACAGTTAATCAGAAAAATAAAAGGCAGTGATTTGAGACATAAAATTCTGAAACTATTCCAGATGACTTTTTAATATGAACAAAAATTCCTGCCTTTTGTATCAGACTTCAGAAAATAAAGGATATTACTAAGCAAAACCTACCCAACTTTTAAAAATTGGATTATTTGGCTGGGCACAGTGACTCACGCCTGTAATCCCAGCACTTTGGGAGGCCAAGGCGGGTGGATCACCTGAGGTCAGGAGTTTGAGACCAGCCTGGCCAACATGGTGAAACCCCGTATCTACTAAAAATACAAAATTTAGCCAGATGTGGTGGCTCATGCCTGTAATCCCAATTACCCAGGAGGCTGAGGCAGGAGAATTGCTTGAACCCTGGAGGCGGAGGTTGCAGTGAGCTGACATCACACCACTGCATTCCAGCCTGGGCAACAGACAGAGCAAGATTCCCTCTTAAAAAAAAAAAAAAAAAAGGATTATTTATTCTTAATAATTCCAAACTCACTAAAGACCACCCAATAATCGATTATACTCTTGAAAAATTGCAGTTTGCACTATTAAGATGAAATTTAAGGAGCCTGACCCTTTTTTCTTCTTTTACTGTGCACCATCGTTTTCACCCTAAGATAAGGAAGTGGTCCCCAGCTTACTTAAAGCAAAACAGTGCCCCTTCTCGCTCGCCACCAGCTGCCCTCTTGGTCTTTCCTTATCCATTAGCAGCACAGCCTTATCTTCCAGCTCATAAGCTGACAAAATATTTCAAGGACATCTGCATTCATAGGACTGGTTAATTTCTTCTCCATCATTCCCCCAACAAGTCACGGCAAAGCATTGAGCACAGCACTGAGCTGCAAAGCACTGGGTACAGCACCTGTCTGTTGTGGGTGTTTAGTACAAATCATCTCCCTTATTATCTTCCTATTACTACCATTAAAATTATTTGAATGTGAAGTACTGGTTTAAAGTCCTGACCGGCCAGGCGCGGTGGCTCACATCTGTAAATCCCAGCACTTTAGGAGGCCAAGGCGGGTGGATCACTTGAGGTCAGAAGTTCAAGACAAGCCTAGCCAACATGGTGAAACCCCACCTCTACTAAAAATACAAAAAATTAGCCAGGCATGGTGGCACACACCTGTAATCTCAGCTACTCAGGAGGCTGAGGCACAAGAATCGCTTGAACCTGGGAGGCAGAGGTTGCAGAGAGCCATGATCGCACCACTGCACTCCAGTCTGGGTGACAGACGGAGACTCCGTCTGAAAAATAAAATAAAGTCCCAGCTCTGCGATCAACTAACCTGAGTTTATGTTCTGAGGAATACTGGACTATATTAATGTGATTATCCACACAAAGCCTTTAGCATGGGTTCTGGTTAAGTAACCTCTCAATAATTATCAGCTAATCTTATTAATAACAGGCACCAGTTAGTCTTCTTTAGTTTTTTCCACCAATGTTGGCTGGTTCTACATATTATTTCAAAAAACCTTTGTAAATGTGGTTTTATACGTTCTTGCTTTAAAACATGACATAGCGGTCACTACCATTCACTTCTCTGGCTGAGGGCTTGCCCCTGCCACCTATTTCTCCACTGCAGGCCTAGAACAGCCTTCTGACTTAGCCCAGAACATCTTTCCATCTACCCTAAACGAACTGCACCTCTTTCCTACCGTGGTGCCCAATTTCTAGGTTTCCTTTCAATTAATGGAGGGGTTTAGTCCCATGCATACCCCCCACACCTCAGCTTGGCTGGCGGTGACTCAAGGGCAGAATCCAAGTCCCAGTCCTAGCAGGCACTCAGTGTTCACCATTGCTGATGAAATAAAATGAGGAAATGCTACAAAGCCCACAAGGCATGGTGGAAATGAAAGGTGTTAATTAAAATGTCACTTTTACATAGGTTATGAATCGTCACGGTCAGATAACTCTGAAGTGCATTCACAAGGAATCCAGGATCCTTCCAGGTGATCCGTCTTTCTTCCTGGCATTTGTCACCTAACCAATCTTGAATGTGGAGCCTGTGAGAGCTCTGGTTTAATAAGGATCCAAGTAATAGGCTGTACTCAGCTCTCCTGAGAAAGTTAGCAGAGGAGAGAAGTGGCCTCCGAAAAGCCCCGGACCGATGCTGTGGAAAGCAAAGGAGTTTCTCAAATAAAAATACACACCCGTACCAGTCTCCTCAATGTCAGTACCTTAGTGACTCTTAAAACTTCTTAATCAGGCTGTATGAGCCTTTGTTTATTTTTCTCTCTGGAGTTAAGGCAGCCTTATTTTTAATTTCTTTAAAAGATATATATTTCTTTTATTTTTTTTTCTCACCTATAATGCCAAATTTGATAACAAAGACAGCGTTAACCAAAGAAAAACATCACTAGGTTTTCTACAATGCTTTTAAAAGTCAGGATTTAGGATCTGCTATGAAAAGATGTCAGCTGGACAAATATAAATTTCTTTTCCACATACTCATAATCACGTTTTATAATATGCTAGTGAATGTTTACTTTCGTAATATCAATGGTATATTTTGTCAACAGGGCAAGCTTTGATTTTTTTATTTTTTATTTTTTTGGTATTTCAATTATTCCATTAAGATAGGAAGAATCTGTTTCGAATAGTTCTGTATCATAATTCCTTTTTACAAAAAAGCAAGTTTATGGCTTCCTATCTGCCAGGCCAATTAAACTTGCCAAAACAATTCTCTATATTTGGAGACTTCCTGCTGAAAAGGACACTTCTAAATTCTTTTTTCTTTAACTTCATATTTTGAAATTATTTTAGACTTATAGAAAACTGCAAAAATAGCTCAGAGGGTTTCCATCTACCCTTCACCCAGACTCCTCAAATATTAACGTATCAACATAGCCGTTGTGTGAGTGTCAAAACCAGGAGTTTAACTCTGGTGTGATCCTGCTGGCTGCAGACCTTATCTGGATTTCTCCGATTTCCCCACTGCTGCCCTTCTTTTGGCCAAGAACCGACTCCAGGACCCCACTTTCCATTCAGCTGTATCTCCTGATTTCCTCTCCAATCTGGGACAGTCACTCAGTCTTCCCTTTTCTTTCATGACCCTGAAACTTGTAAAGAGCACTGGTCAGTTACCTTGTAAATGTCTTTCCATTTGGGTCTATCTGACGTTTACTCTGACTGAGGGTAAATTGTGCATTTTTTTTTTTTTATTTTGCAAGAACACCACAGAAGTGATACTGGGCTCCTCTCAGTACATGATATCGGGGTGTATGATGTTAATGTTGTATCACTGGTGATATTAACCTTGATCGGTTGAATATGATGCTATCTGTCTGGTTTCTCCACCCTGTGGTTACTATTTTTCCTCCTTGTAGTTAGCAAATATCTTAGGATGTGGTACTTAGATCATGAAAATAGCCTGTTCCTCTTCAAACTTTTACCTTCTGGTTTTAGCATCTATTGATGGATTTTGGCTGCAGTAATTATTAGTGTGGCATTGGCCTATTGGTAGTTTTGTATTTCCTTCCTTTGCAAGGACACTTTTGAATAGACCAGATGGTTTTCAAAACAGGGTTCATGTTCTTGAAGATTTCTTCTTAATGGTAACTTTCAAAGACGTTAAAAGCTACTCCAAGGTCAGCTCTGGGCATCTATTTACTTCCCCACACCCCAACAATTGTTCACAGCTGAAGTTTGGTCTTCATACTTAAAATGTGCTATCTGTGTCTCTATGGGTATTTTAGTGTTCATTACCTGGAATCTTCTTCCAAAGGATACAGCAACTTGTCCTTAAAACAAATAAGACCATACCAAAGGTGGCCACAGACCTCTGCTTTGTCCTGTTTCTAGGACGGCACTGACCATCCATGTTCAATTAGAGTACCTTCGTCTCTGATTAGTGTGCCGGAAGAAACATAGCCCAGGCGTGACAGGGCTGTTTATCCAAGAGATGGAAGACTGAGCAATCTTCCATCCTAAAGTATAAGAGGCTGTGAAAGCGTCAAGGCTGCCCAAGAACTATGAGTTATTCAAAATCCACAAGGAAAATAATAATGGCCCTGATTTTCATGAGAAGACATTTGGAAACAAGGGGATTAAGAAAAGCGTTGCTCAAAACAGGAGCTGCCCAACCCAGGTGAAATCTGAAGTCTTAATTCTGAAGAAATCCCCTTGCTGTCCAAGTTACCATACCTGGCCAGGTGAGTTCTCAATACCAAGACAGGGAGTGCTGTGGATGCTGATTGAACTCCCAGTATCGTAAAATGGGGCTTTGTTTTTACACCCTTTAGAATGAGGAGTACTGGGTCACAACAAGTCAATTTTAGATGATAACTGCTCATGACTCATTAAAAGAAAATGAATTGTAATAATCATAGTTCACAGTTGTTGAGTATTTACTATGTTCAGGTACTGTTGCAAGTGCTTTCTGTGTATTAACTCATTCAGTCCTGACAGTGTCTCTATGTGGTAGGTCCTACTTACTGCAACCATTTTATAGATGGGAAAACAGCATCGTGGAAAGGTTTAAGTCAAGCCCGATATTACACAGTAAGTAGCAGGCGTGGGATTCAGATCCATGCTGCCTAAATTCCAAGCTAGTATCTTCACCTTCTTCCTCTACTGGCCACAAAGTTAATGGCCCATTTAGTAGTATCAAATAAAAGGGAAATGCTATCTTTTGTAATGTGAAATGTCAGAGAGGATGTTTAGAAAAATCACCACCAGCCGCCATCTGTCAATCTATAGTCCAATCTTAGCTGTTAGATTACATCTCACAGATATCATACGTCGCTATTAGGGAGCAGGCAGCTCACCTGGGCCACAATGAAGGCAGGAAGCAAAGGTACCTCTCATACCTGAGTGCATGCTTACCTGAAACCCAACTCCTGTTCCCTCCTTCCCCACCTGCCTTCCATCGGGGAAGGGAATGGGGATCAGAATGGATCCATTTATCATCAGCACTCTATGTGCTAGGCAGCTCCAGAGAAAGCTAATCTCAGCTAACATAAGAACTCTTTTCTTCATTTCTTTTTTTTTTTTTTCTTTTTTCAAAGATGGGTCTCTCTATGTCTCCCAGACTATGGTTCAGCTGCTATTCACAGGTGCAATCATAGCTCACTGAAGCCTGGAACTCCTGGGCTCAAGTGATCCTTCTGACCCTCAGTGTCTGGTATAGTTGGGACTATACGCGTGAGCCACCTGTCCACTCGTGATGATTCTTTCAGTGAAAGTAAGCCTCGAAGCAAAGAAGGGTTGTTTTAATATCATCTCTGGGTAATTCCAGAAAAAAAGTAAGTCAAAGTAATGCTACTAGAAGAAATAGGTTTTCTTTATGTCAGACTGGAGTCTTTGGAAGAAAGCGACTAGCCCCTGGCTGTGGCTAGTGTGTTTTTGAGAATGAATTCGAGCAGCTGCAGCATGGCTGTCAGGGAGTGAAAATGGAAAGGGCAGTGCCCACAGCACATCCCAGCCCATAGAACCACAGCTGGTGCTGCCTTCATTCTCGGAGCAACAGAATCCCGGGCAGGGAAGGGAGAGCAATTCCAACATCCAAATGAAGAAAAAGCCACTAGAGTTTGTAAGAAAGGGGAATTGAAATCCGAGACTCCTTTTCTTCTAGGAAGGAGGCAAGTGTCCTAAGGGAGATGGGGAATAAAAGGAAACATTTAAAAGTGTCAGAGGAGACTTAAAAGTGTCGGAGACTTAAAAGTGGGGAGAAGGAGGCACCCTGCCCTATTCTTCAAAGGGTTCTATAGAACCGCCACCTACATTTCCACTCCTGTTTCTATCAAATTTTTTATTCCTCCCAGAATAGCAGCTCTCTGAGGTGTCAGGGGGAAAACAGTATTGAATTACATTAAAATGTAAATAACTGCAGGACTCAGTCTCCTGCAGATCTTGGCATTTCAGAGGAGGATAGTGTCTATTTGGTTGGATTCCAGGCATGGTCGTAAGTGAAGACCATGTATGTGAGGTACAGATGGTTATGGGCATAACACACCAACACAGAGAGACACCAACTCTGTGCAAGGACCTTTCCTCAAGCTCCGGCTTCAAACCCCTAGTTGTTCCTGCTTTTCCTGAGCTTCGTTTCCTCTCTACTGCATTGATTCAGATCTCTTCCCTGTCTCTCATACAGGCAGGGGCACCAGTAGCTTTTGGGTTGGGCTTTGGAGGCATGGAGGTACAGCAGCACAGAGACATTCTTTGTATGGTTGACTGATTTTTAATTCAGGCGTTCTGGTTATACGCTGATGCTTAACAAATCATCTGACATTTCATGGCATAAAACACAATTCGACTCTGCACACAGATTTTGCAGGCCAGGAGTTCAGGCAGGGCATAGTAGAGACAGTTTCTCTTTGATTCTCAGTGTCTGGGTCCTCAGATAATCTAAGCTGGAAGCTACAGCCAGAGTGCTGGAGGAATCACCTCCAAGAGGGCTTCTTCATTCCCATGTGTGTCACTGAGCTGGAAAAGCTAAAAGTGGGCTCAGATCAGACTGTCATGGACTATCAACCGGATGACTACATGTGCCTTTCCCAGTATGGTGGCCTCAGAGTAATTGAATGTCTAACCTGGGCATCTTATGGTTCCAAGAGCAAAGATTCCCCAAGGAAAAGATAGAAGTTTTATGACTTTTTATGACTTGGTCTTGATCACAATTTAACATTTCTTCCACACTCTATTGGTCAAAGCAATCCATCCAGATTTAAAGGGAGAAGATAGGTCCCACCTTGCTATGGTCTTAATATATCCCCTGAAATTTATACGTTGGAACCTAAAATCCAGCGAGACAGTATTAAGAAGCGGAGCTTTCAGAAGGTTAAGTCATGTGGGCAGAGCCCTTGTGGCTGAGATTATGACCCTTACAAAAGGGCTTGAGGAACGGGCATGCACTCTTCCACTGCACAAGGACACAGCATTCATCCCGTCGGGAGGATACAGCAACACGGCCCCACCTCGGAAGCAGAAACAGAGCCCTCACCACACACCAAACCTGCTGGTGCCCTGGCCTTAGGCTTCCCAGCCTCCCAAACTGTGAGAAATAAATTTCTGCTCTTCATACATTACCCAGGCTCAGATATTTTTCTAATAGCAGCACAAACAGACTAAGACACAACTCTTGATGGAAGGAGGTTTAAAGAATTTGCATTTTAAAGCTGCCACAATCAGGTCCTTATTGAAACCAAAGACTGCCGCTGCCACATGTTTATTTCTCATGAAAATTTTCCAGGAAGCTATTTTAAATATTGCTCTGGCTACATTCAAGTGTTTCCTAAACTATAGGATGTGTAAGAATCACTGAAGAGCTTGTGAAAAGTGCGCATGCCTAGGCGCCACTCCCACAGTTTCTGTCTTATGGGTCTACTTACCACCTGTAACCTGCACCCAGATCAATCCGATACTTCTCTTTATTGTTTGCTTTGCTTTTTGTACCCTTTCCCCTGCCCCTCTTAACTGATTTAGAAGTTATACAACCTGTTTCTATTCTTTTAGTGGAAACTGAAATTTTACCTTGCACATTTACTTCGATAAAGTGTTACACTAATATCTTAACATTTCTCCTTTAATACTTTAGAACATTACTCTGATCACCCATTTCTCAAATGAATTCCTGTTGATGTTTAATATTTTAGTGCTATACATTTTGGATTCCAGTCCTGCCACAGACCCTGTTGAGTGCCCTGCTATATCTCCCCAGTTGAGCCTGGAAGTCACAAGCAGCTTCAGTGGACAGTTCTTACACACATTGATGGTTGCCTGTGTCAAGTACCTGCATGTCTCTTCTGAGGGCTTTCACTGACTGCAGGAGCATATTCTGCAGGCCAGAAAAGCTGACACCAAAAGGCAATGCTTAGTCAATAAGAAACAGCAGATGGTAGATAAATGCCCCAACTTCCCCACTCTTTGGTGAGAAAATTCTGAAATGTTCAACACACAGATTTTCGGAGAATTCCCAGTGGGGTTGACCCCTGTTGTCGACAGCAAGCAGTTACCTGCTCACTGATGCACCTTCTCTTTTCTTCCTTTCTGTTATGGACCAAATGTTTGTGTATCTCTCTGAAATTTGTATGTTGAGATCCCAACTCCCAGTGTGATGCTATTAGCAAGTTGGGCCTTTGGGAGATGATTAGGTGAATAGAATTAGTGTCCTTATAAAAAGACACAAGAACACTCTCCTTCTCTCTGCTCTCTGCCACATTAGGTACAACCAGAAGTCAGCTGTCTTCCATCCAGAAGTGGGCCCCCACCAGAATCTGGCCACGCTGGTCCTGTAATCTTAAACTTCCAGCTTTCAGAAAAGTGAGAAATAAATATGTGTTGTTTGTAAACTACCCAGTCTATGGTACTTTGTTACGACAGCCTAAATTTTAATATTTTTTTGAATAATACTTCAGAACATTTAACTCTGATCACCACTTCTCAACTGAAACCCTATTTCGTTTACCATTTGAGTGTTACACATTTTGGATTCCAGTCCTACCACAGATGCTATTGAGTGACCTGCTGTATGTCCCCAGTTGAGCCTGGAAGTCACCAGCAGCTTCAGGGGACAGGTCTTACACATATTGCTGGCTTCCTGTCTCAAGACTAAGACACTTGACTCCCCTATTGATGCTTCCTGGCATCACTTCCCAAATAAAGGGTTTGTATCTAAATACTTGTCTTGGGGTGTGCTTGGGGAAGAACCTGAACTAAGGCCTCACAGATAGAACTTTGTATTTTATGTAGAACAAACTTTAGGCCGGGCCAAGTGGCTCACCCCTATAATCCTAGCACTTTGGGAGGCCAAGGCGGGTGGATCACGAGGTCAAAAGATGGAGACCACCCTGGTCAACATGGTGAAACCCCATCTCTACTAAAAATACAAAAATTAGCTGGGCATGGTGGCACACACCTGTAGTCCCAGCTACTCGGGAAGCTGAGGCAGGAGAATTGCCTGAACCCAGGAGGTGGAGTTTGCAGTGAGCCGAGATCATGCCACTGCACTCCAGCCTGGGTAACAAGAGTGAAGCTCCGTCTCAAAAAAAAAAAAAAAGAACAAACTTTAGATATACCATGCTTACTAAATTCTTTGCTCATCTTTTCTTCTTCTATCTCCGACATTTCTTCTAGTTTCATTTTCCTTCTTAAAGAATATGCTTTGGTGGAAAGCTCTAAAGGGGCGATTCTGAACCACTCATCTGGCAGCAGGTCCCGTCCCTCCGTTGACCATCTATTCTGCAAGGAAGACTTTTGTAGATTTCTTCCCTCGGTGCCTCCATGAGGAGCATAGGAGCAAGGACATCTTTGTGCAGAGTGTCCTGCCATACTTTGTAGCTACAAAACTGGCTAAAATCCAAAAGCCAACTTTGGATAAGCCCTCTTCAGAGATGTTTGTGAAGTCAGCAATTAAAACAGCAGGCCTGCAATCCTGAACCAATGGATACCTGATCCATGCTCTTATGGGCTCAATAATCTCAATCCTGCCTTCTTAAATTTATTTTAAAATAACCATGGATATAAACAAGTCTACGAGGGCTCAGTAACTGAAGAAAGCCAGGAAGAACTAAGCATTGATAACTGCATTGTAACTTGGTCAGATGCTCCAGCCTATGCATGTTGACTACAAGGCACCCTACTGGTCTTGAAAATCTGAAGTTCTCATTTCAATAGTTATTAACGTGGCTAAATGTTATCTTAATTAAGGGGAAAACATAAGTTGCTTTTAGGGGTTTCTGCCATGCATTTTGGATACTACCACAGGTAATTTTGAGGTTTAATATAAATGCTCATATCAAATGAATATATAACTAATATTGTCAAGAACAGGTAATAGGAATACTTTTATAGCAAATCACAGAATGATAGACTCAAACATAAAACTCAGTAGTTTTATCTGCTCCAAAATGCCATTGATCATTATTCCTGTGTTTTCTCTGAAACCGATTATAAAAAGCAATGTCCAGCTACTCTTACGTTTTCGACACTTTGAAGAAATGGAGATTAATTGATTTTATTTGTTTGACACACTACAATTTCCAACGATCTCTTTAAGGTTTTATAAAATATTGTTCCAGTTTGGACATTTACATGGAATTGTTCTTTATCAAGGGTAGCTAACGACACAAAAATAATTATGAAATATGGAATTATTTCTGACACATGAAACCCCCAATGCTTTCTTGTAATGCATATTTCTTCTCAATTTAAATGTATATAAATATCAAAGCTATATGGTATTATTTATAAAGATAAATGGGCCAAAGTGTACATTGACACTGGCAGCCATCTATGGTACCACTGAAACCCTGACCCAGAAAAGTGGCCTCCTCTGTTTCTCCATTGAACCAATATTGCGCACACATGTGACACAGGCTAATCTTATAAAAGTAATGACATCATAGAAATTGCATTATAATTTTTAAATTAGTCCTCTATAGATAGGTACTAATATAATTTGTTTTAATAAAACATGCTGTAACCATGGTATACAACAAAAATACATTAGCGACTGAAATTAAGGCCATATGTACACTGACTTAATATAAGACTGACTTTTATCCTGCTTCATAACTTGTATGGGGAACTCACCAAGAAAGAATTCAATACTGTGAAATATGCAACAAGAAGATTGGCCTTTACCTAGGCTATGGTTCCTAAGCTCTGATTTTGAAGCACCAGTAGATTTGTATTTAAAAAAAAATTGAGGCCTTAGTTTCTGGCTTTTAATTTTGCCAGCTGAGGACACAAAATAAAAACAAACAAAACAAATAACTATCTGCTATAGCATCATTATGTGAAAGAAAATATATTTTAGCCCCTAAAATTAGGAAGAATATAATCTCAGAATAAAGGTTGTCATTTAAATTGAATAAATATAGCTTTATGAAAAAAATATGCTTTAGAAATGTTTTGATGACTGTCTGGTTTAGTTTTTTGTATGTGTGTTTATCTCATGTCCTTTCTTAAAGGATACTTTTGCTGGGTGTAGAATTCTAGGTTGGTACTTACTTTCTTTATTCTGGCTTCCATTGCTGATGTGAAATATGCTGTAACTCTGCCATTACTTTGTTGGTGATCTAACTTTTGGTCTTCTCTTGGTCTTCAGGATTCTGCAGTTCCACTATAACTTGTTTAAGTATGTTTTTCCTTTTATTTATCTCAGTATGTAAGAGTTTCATTTTCTATACCTGCAGATTAATATCTTTCATCAGTTTCAGAAAGTTCTCAGGCACAATTTCTTCAAATATTACCTCTCATTCTTTCTATTAGTACTCTGGAATTCTGACTAGATATTTGTTACATCTTCTCATTTTACCTTTATCTCTTGTTCATGCAAGGGTAACTCACTCATGTACCTCTCAAGCCCAAATCCTGCTCTAGAAATTCAGATATCTTATTTCTGATTCTATAAGATGTATGTTCCTGAAGGGCCCATTGACTCCTCAAGTCAACATCTCCCCCCACAGTTCAGCCTCTTGATCTATCACCTTTTATATCTTTTATTGAAATAAAATTCACATAACAAAATTAAACATTTTAAAGTTTTACAATTCAGTGATATTTAGCACATTTGGAATGTTTATGCAACCACCACATCCTTCTAGTTGAAAGATATTTTCACCACTCAAGAAGGTAAGCCCATATTCATTAAACATTCAATCTCTACTTCTTACCCTCTCCTGGCTCACTAGTCTGTTTTTTATCTCCATGGATTTACTAATTCTAGACATTTCATATAAACAGAATCATACAATATGTGGCCTTTTATGTATAATTTCTTTCACTTACTTTAATATTTTTAGGGTTCATCCATAGTGTAGCATGTATGAGTCCTTTTCATGGTTGAATAATATTCTATTGGTGTGGGTGACGGAAGATCCGCTGGGGAGTCTTGGCCAGCAAGAGGGTCCTGACCTGAAAGACGGGGTGCACAGAAACAAAGAGAGACAGAAAAGCTGGGGTCTGGAGGACTGAAAAGGCAATGCCTAAACAGCGAATTTATTTTTGTCCAGGGTCTCAATTTATACCTTAAGATCAAAGGTGTTTACACAATCAACAATAAGAGGAATGGAAAGTTACAAAATATTAGATCACGAAAACAATCTTAAGCATGACATTCAAGGATCATAAAAGTGGGCAGGTGGTATGCTTTATCTGTTTTTACCAAAACACACTTTTGTAAACAACAATACCTAGGAGTCACAAGCTAAGCCATAAAGTCATTATCTAGGGTTCAAGGCAGTCATGCAGATAAAGTTACACTTCTTGAAAAACAAAGTCATAAAAGTCATGCAGAGGCCTAGTGGAGACATAATGTCTGACAAAACCACACAACCCTTGCCCAAGCGTCGTCATCGCAGTCAGAAGTAGAAACCTTTGCAACATCAGTCATTTCTTAGTTCCTTCTGTCCCATAGCTCAACTGCCTCCAGCAGGAAACTGTGTTTGGGCTCAAGCTCACCGTCTGGTGAGGCCCACACATTAGGGGGGCCTCTCACAGGAGCGTTCCCCACATATTGGATATATATACTACATTTTATTGATTCATTAATCTGTTGAACACTTGCGTTGTTTCATTTGAGTATTGTTGATAGTGTTGCTATGTACATTCATGTACAAGTATCTGAGTACTTCTTTGCTATTCTTTTGGGTCTATATCTAGAGGTAGAATGCTGAACTATATGGCAATTTTTAATTTTTTGAGGAACTACCATACTTTTTTCCATAGTGGCTGCACCATTTTGATTCCTACCAGCAATACACAAGTGTTCCAATCTCTCCACATCTTTGCTAACACTTATTTCATTTTTTAAAGACCAACTTAGTGGATGTAAAATGGCACCTGGTTGTGGTTTTACTTTGCACTTCCTTAATGGCAAATGATGTCAACGATCTTTTCATGTGCTTATTGACAATGGGATGTAGGCAAAAGTGACAGTGGCCCAGTTCCAAGCAGACAATTTTTAAAATATTGGAATTTCTGCCAGTACTTTTGAACTCCTACCCATTGCCATAAGAGAGTATGTCCAGGGTAGCCATTGATCCTCCATCACAGGTCCCGGAATGAAAGACAAAGACCCATAAGCTAGAGCAGAGCCATTGCAGATCTCATCATGGATTGGGCAAGAAAAACAAATATTTGTTTTTGTGAACCGCTGAAATGTGGGGGTAATTTGTTAAGCTACCTGATCACAGAGAAGATGAATAATACTGTGAAGTAAAATTTGTGCGAAGCCACTGATTTGGATTCCTGCACTAAGTCTAGCAGATCAAGTCAATATGGTCTTCTTCTGTTTCCTGAGACTTGGTACCCTGGTTACAAAGAAGAAAGATAAAGTGACAGGGATCCCCATTTCAGAGGATGAAATTTGTCTGTCACCAGCGTTAGCCCCAGGAGAAAATCCTGTGTGAGGAGCATAGCTCAATAGACCAGAGGAATAGTAGTATCAAATATTCCATTCAAATCTTCCTTTTCTCTCCTTTGGAAATGTTTGCAAGCATTTTGAGTTAGCTGTGTTTCTTTGAGGAAGAAATGCATTGCTTTGGGTTCATCCTTTGAGACAAAGCATCCCTAGCAGAATTGCTGCATATGGAGAAACAGTGATGAGATAGTCAGAGGAGAAGGATGTTGAAGCCCATGCAAGCAGTATCAAGTCCATCAAAATGCATTTGTAGAATTTGACAGCATTCTTGGGAATAACTAGGAATACAACATAAAAGGAACTAATGAAAGATATGGACTTTCTGCTGAAGATGGGATTTCGGACATTATTACCAGTATTAAAGGGGAGGATGGTCCTTGAAGGATGAAAGCAAAGAGATGCTTATTTATTTCTCAACTTTTTAAAAGTTTAATATTCACCCACAAAAAGAACATATATAATAAGTATATGGCTTGATGCCATTTCACAAAGTGAATGCACCTATGAAACCGGCATCTAGATGAAACTCGTCCAACCCACAGCCCACAGGCTGCATGCCACCCAGAATGGCTTTGAATGCAGTCCGATACAAATTCGTAAACTTTCTTAAAACATTATGAGATTATTTTGATGTTTTTTTGTTGTTCATCAGCTATTGTTAGTATATTTTATATGTGACCCAAGATAGTTCTTCTTTCAGTGTGGCCCAGGGGAGCCAAAAGGCTGGACACCCCTGCCTGAAACAGCACACTCCCAGCACCTCCTGAACCCCCCACATTGTGCCTCCTCTCAGGCACTACCTACCCAAGAATAACCACTATCCTGACCTCTAACAGCATAGATTCGTCTTGCTAGGGTTTATACTTGATATAAGTGGAATTATACAGTATATATTTTATTGTGCCTAGCTGAAATTCAAGATTATAATTATGAGATTCTCCTGTATAATTCCATGTAGTTTTAATTCATGGCATTCTCATGGCTAAATTCCTTATGTGAATACCTTCAATTTATTTACCCATTGTACTGTAGATGGGCATTTAGGTAGATTCCAGTTTGGGATTTCTGAACTGCTTTTACTCACAACTCTACTGACACAAAATGTGTTAGCTCCCGTCGTACCACCAACCAGTTCTACAATTCTCTGGCACCAACTGGGTGTCCTACAATTCAATTCCGGACACTACTTAGCGTGTTCATGTCAGACTCTCCAGGTTTAGGCACTCAGTCCCACAAGACTGTCTTTACTTCAGAGGCCAGTCATAAGTATTATGTGGTCAGGCTACTCATGCTCCTCTCTGACTCGGCGACAAAGTTGGGGGTTCCCACAACATCCAGTCCTTTTCAGGTTCAATAATTTGCCAGAACTCACAGTACTCAGGAAATAACCTTGCTTACTACTATCAGCTTATTATAAAGGATACAACTCAAGAACAGGCATATGGAAGGCATGCATAGGGCAAATTATGAAAGCAGCAGATGCATGGAGATTCCATGCCCTCTCCAGATACACACCCTACCTGCACTTCAATGTGTTCACCAACCCGGAAGCTCTCCAAATCCTGTTGTTTTTTACAGAGGTTTTATTACATAGGTATGAGTAAGTCATTGGCCATTGGTGACAGACCTTAATCTCCAGCTCCTCTTCCCTCCCTGGAAGTCTGGGAGTGGGACTGAAAGTTCTGATTCTATAATCATATGGTTGGTTGTTCTGGCAGCCAGCCCTCATCATGAAGCTGCCTAGGGCTCTCACCAAAAATAACTTTATTAACATAAATTCAGGTATGGTTGAAAGGGGCATGTTATGAATAACCGAAGACATGCCTATCACCCCTATCATGCAGAAAAGTTCAAGGTTTTTAGAAGCTTTGTGTTAGGAACTGAAGACAAAGACCAAATAAATATTTCTTACTGCAGCACAAGATGATTATGAATATTGTCTTTTGGGTGTCTTTTTGAGACAGAGTGTTGCTCTGTTACCATGGTTGGGATACAGTGGTGGTAGCATGGTCTCGGCTCACGGCAGCCTCAACACCCCCGCCCCGGGCTCAAGAGATTCTCCCACCTCAACCTCCTGAGTAGCTGGGACTACAAGCATGTGCCTAGCCTAACGCCTAGCTAATTTTTGGGTTTTTTGTAGAAATGGGATTTTGCCATGTTGCCCAGGCTGGTCTCAAACTCCTGGGCTCAAGTAATCCACATACTTTGGCCTCCCAAAGTGCTGGGATTACAGAAGTGAGCCACCATGCCCAGTCAAATATTGTTTTTATAAACATTCTAGTTTATGTATCTTGTTGGACAGATGTACACATTTCAGTTGTATATATACCTAGGAGTGGAATTCCTGGATTTGCTTAGGTTTTAAAATATCACCTGATAGTTCCAACATCCCTGCAATATTTGAATCGGGTTTTGATGTTGCTTCTGTCTTTTCAAACTGTGTTTTTTGCCTTTTAGTGTGTCTTG